ATTTATAATTGAGAAAAAATAAAGGGCAATACTAAGAGAGAGAGAAAAAAAAAGTCTATTTCACCCATCCATTTAACAGGATGTTAAATTAGAAAGCCTGTCCAGTCAGTGTGGCTCAGTTGGTTGAGCATCGACCCATGCACCAAGAGGTCGCCAGTTTGATTGCAGTCAGGGCACATGCCCAGGCTGTGGGCCCAATCCCCAGTGGGGGCATGCAGGAGGCGGCCAATCGATGTTCTCTCCCATTGGTGTTTCTCTCTCTCTCCCTCTCCCTTCCTCTCTCTGTAAAATCAAAGAAAAAAGAAATCAGAAAGCCTGAAATCTAGTTCTGTTGTTTGAATTCTGAGCCGAGACGAATTATTTAGCTGCTGGTCATGGTTCCAGAAACCAGTTTTAAGTAATGAACTGAACACTTGGAGCCTAAATCTGAAACTTAAGTGACGCTCTGAAACAATTCTGATAGCGCCGTGGGAACGCTGTCCAAACAGGGGAATCCTTTTACCCTCCCAGCTATCCAGTAAGTGATGACATTCCCTCCCTCCCAGCCAGTCTGACTGGAACCTCTGACAGGCAAGACCACCTCTAATTCTGCATCCTGCGAGGAAGTTGCTGTGCGATACACAGTGACATCACTGGCTTGGCACTTCAGTTTCCTTATCAGTTATAAATAATATGTGTTACTTATTTTCTACGATGATTGGAAGGAAAAATGAGATATAACATTTCATGTTGGACTTCTGGTCAAGACGGTGGCCTAGGTAAATGCAGTATCCGTCCTCCCACAACCACATCAAAGTAACAACTAAACTACAGAACAGCCATCATTCAAAACAGCCTGACGTCAAGCTGAATGGAAGTCCTACAACTACGGAATTAAAGAAGCAGCCACATTGAGACTGGTAGGAGGGCGGAATGGCTGCTCCCTCACCCACATGTGGCAGATAAAAATCAGGAGGACACCTCAGCTGGGAAGGTCCTCCCTGAGGTCTGAGGGGCCCTGTCCCACACCAGGCACCCCCCTCAGGGTTCCAGTGCCAGGAAGAGAATCCCCATGACTTCTGGCTGGAAAAAGCAGAGGGAACTGAGGCTCCGGGAGGCTGAGATTCTGGAGCCCCAGGCAGCTCCTCTTAAAGGGCCTGTGCAGGGACTTACTCAGACTCACTTGCTCTAAGCTTGGAGGGGAGGCAGCTTGAGGGGTGCCAGAGACATACAGGGAAGAACTGAGCTATTTGGCATTGGACTGAGGGCTGGAGAGGGACCTTTCTCCAGGACAAACGTGCTGTCAGAGGCCTTTGTTCTTTTGGTGAGCCCTTCCCTGGGGCGGCAGACAGCCGCCATATCTGGGACTCCAGCAACCTGGCTCACACTGGTAGCCCCGCCCTGCTGACTCCCTGAAGCCCCGCCCCGCCCCACCCAACTTTCAGACCCACCCAAGCTGTTGCCAGTTGCTTCACCATAGGATTGGCCTGTCTTGGATCCTGCTTCAGGTTTTCCTAAATTCTTTTAAACCAGCAGCATCTGGTCTCAGCTAACCCCATACCTCTTGTTAAGTAATACATAGAAACAAACACAGGGAGGCAGCCAAAATGATGAGACAAAGAAACAGGTCCCAAATGAAAGAACAGAACAAAACCCCAAGAAAAGAACTAAGTGAAATGGAGAGAAGCATCCTAACAGATGCTGAGTTCAAAACAATGCTTATAAGGATGCTTAATGGACTTAGAGAGAATCTCAGCGAACTTAGTGAGGGCCTCAAGAGCATAAAAAAGGACAGTCAGAAATAAAGGATGCACAGTCAGAAATGAAGGAAGCACTAACTGAAATAAAGGATAATTTACACAGATTCAATAGTAGAGTAGGTAAAGCCAAGAAGTACACCATTGATTTGGAATACAAGGAAGCAAAACACACCCAATCAGAACAGCAAAAAGAAAAAAGAATCCAAAAAAATGAGGATAGTGTAAGGAGCCTCTGGGACCACTTCAAGCGTGCCAACATTCGCATCTTGGAGGTGCCAGAAGGAGAAGAGAGAGAACAAGAAATCGAAAACCTGTTTGAAACAATAATGGCAGAAAACTTCCCTAACTTGGTGAAGGAAACAGACATACAAGTCCAGGAAGCACAGAGAGTCCCAAACAAGATGAACCCCAAAAGGCCCACACCAAGACACATCATCATCAAAATGCAAAAGGTTCAAGACAAAGAGAGAATCTTAAAAGCAGCAAGAGAAAGGCAGCTAGTTACCTACAAGGGAGTTCCCATAAGGCAGTCAGCTGATTTCTCAAAAGAAACTGCAGGCAAGAAATATTCAGAGTGATGAAAAGCAAGAACCTACAACCAAGATTACTCTATCCTGCAAAGCTGTCATTTAGAATCGATGGCCATATAAAGAGTTTCCCAGACAAGAAAAAACTAAAGGAGTTAATCACCACCAAACCATTATTATATGAAATGTTGAAGGGTCTTTTTGAAGAAAAAGATAAAATATATGAAACAAAATGGCAATGAATACATATCTATCAACAATTGAATCTACAAATAAAATGAACAGGCAGAACAGAAACATTCTCATAGATACAAAGAACATTTTGTTGGTTGCCAGATGGGAGGGGAGGTTGAGGGAATTAAGAAGAACAAATTGGTTGCTAGACTGACAAATCTCAAAGGGAAGGGGGTTGGGGGTTGGAAGAAATAAACCAAAGAACTTATATGCATATGTGCATAACCAATGGACCCAGACAGCAGTATGGGAAAAGGCAGGAGGGGGCTAAAGTGGGGAGGAGGGGGTCATTGGAGGAAAAAATGAGGAACATCTGTAACATTCAACATGAGGAACATTCAACAATAAAGATAAAAACATTTCGTGTTGAACTCAGAAGGAAATTAGGATGTAAAAACAAGTCATATTAAAACAACAGATACTTTATCATCATACCACTGATTTTATTATACTACATTGTATCATACATGCTTTATTTATATGAGATCTCTATCTACTTCAAGCATTCATTCTTACCTTTCAAACGTGTACGTGTAATGATGTTGAACTGCCTAGCATGAGTTGGCTCACAGATGGATTTGACTAAACAGCATTTTCCCATGGCTTTGTGTCACTTTAGAACCTCAGACCTAAGCTGCAGTCCCTTTAGCCATCAATTATTGAATATTCAGTGCTACTACTGACTGGAGTCAGAGCTATTTACCCAGAGTATATAGTTTAGAATTAATAGTCAGCCCTTGCATTTGTCTAATGCATCTCTCTCTAAGGACCAGGTGGATGGTGTACTTTCAAGCTGTACATTGGCACCAGGAGTCAGGAAAGGTTGGCTCTTACAGCCTTCACTTTGCAGATGAAGAGGAGCTTCTCAGAAGCAGCTGGCTTCCTTAGAGAGGCCAAGAGGATGCCATCTAAAAGAAATGCTGGGGAAACTGGCTGGGGCTTCCAAAAATCTGAATATTTTCTTCGAGAAAAAATTAAATGGACCAAAGATTTCATTAAAACAGCTTGCTTTATAACAAAACTGTGGAGGTGTCAGGATGAAATCAGACTGACCAAACAACCAAAACTGTGTATCACCTGATGGATGATTGAAGGGGAGCTTTTTCCATTTCCCCGAATCCTTCTTTTCTTTATTAGCTGATCAAGCAGAAGTTTTCTGTGCCCTCTCCTGGCTTGACTTTGAAACTGCATAATGTGATATTCTTGGTTGGGTTTCTCCTTAGATAAATTCATAGTCTGCCCTCCCTTTCTCATTTTGGACTAGAGAGAGACCAAGAGGATCACTTACTTTGGGGTCTGGATAAAAGTGGTCAGATTAATCAGGCTCCAGATGTCCATTCGACAAGCTGAATAGAGAGTCTAAACAACCAATTTCATGTTCAAATAGTATGTGTTATTTTCTATATTCAAAAATGATGCTATTATTGGGAATAACTCCGTGTGTGTGTGTGTGTGTGTGTGTGTAAAGTATCCCCTGGGGCATTGCTGAGTGTGGAAGTCTATAGGCAAAAGAAGTAGAAAAAAATAGAGATTCAGCCCTGGCCAGTTTGGCTCAGCGGTTAGAGCGTCGGCCTGCGGTCCGGAGAGACCCGGGTTTGGTTCCCGCTAAGGGCACGTACTTCGGTTGCAGTTTGTCCCCGGCCCTGGTTGGTCGTGCGGGTGGCAGCCACTCGATGTGTCCCTTTCACGTTGATGTTTCTCTCTCTCTCTCTTCCTCTCTCTCCCTCCCACTCTATCTGTACAAAAGATGAAAAAATGTCCTCGGGTGAGGATAAAAAAAAAAAAAATAGAGATTTAGACAAACTTTGTTAAAAGTGTTTTCTGAGCACGCTAAAACATATCTGTATTTTTCTTTAGGGCCAGGGAACAGGGAAGGTAAAGGTAAATGGCAGGTGTCTCAGGGAGGCTGGAGTTGCTGCAAGATGATTCATGAGCCTGTGCAAGCACAGACAAGTTCAAAGTGTTGACTCCTCTGTGGGGCCCTTGCATCATGCACTAGGCCAAAGGGAATGCACGTGGGCAGCTGAAATGTACCTGGTGTTTTCCTCATACTCTTTGGCTGTCACAGTTTTTTGGCTGAAACAGTGATCTCCCCAGAACTGCTCTCCACAGCTTCCAGCGGATCTGTTCATTCACTTACTTGGTCACCGAACACTTGTTTTATTACTTGTGTTTTTAGAAGGCACTACACTTAGAGGTTGGCTTGAAGGATAAAGCAGGCATTGGAACTTACAGTTTACTAGCATGGTGCTCTGGAGCCTTTATTCTATCTTGGTACACAGAGAAGATGATACAATTTGCATGTCCCACTGAGGTAACTGGGGGTGGGAGGAAAGCAGATTTAGGGACATTTGTGTGTTTTGGTAAAAAAAAAAAAAAATTTACATTTTCTACTTATTGTATAATTATTATTTGAAACATGAAAGTATTAGAGACAGCATTAAATATTGAGCTTAGCCCAGGTTCGGTTCCCGCTAAGGGC